CACACACACACACACACACACACACACACACACACACACACAGTGCTCAGACTTCGTGCTGCGTTCAGGGACCGTTCCTTTTAAACTGGTTTAAACATCGTCATAGATGTTTGTAAAACTTTGGCGCAGACTCCTTTTTATTTATTATTTTTCTTTGCGACACGTGTTGCATTGACACTTGCACGTGTTGGCGCCGTCTCTCGGTTTGCAGCGTTCTGAGCAGCCGGGTTAGGACGGTTGATTTTGGGAGGGTTATCTTTCTCCATCCTTTTTTCCCAGCTTCCTCTGGCCTCTCCTCTCACAGCCATCTGTTGCCGTTCGTTTCTGCGGGCTGTAAAAAGTGCTGCCCGAGCAATCTGGCAGCCAATCACAGCGTCCGATTGCGTGTGTGTGTGCGCGCGTGCACCTGCCGTGGCCATGTAAGAGCGTGTCATGCAGGAGCGGTGATACACTCAGAGGTCAGTGGAAACACGGCGCGCTCGCTGCCAGCTGTCAGCGCTCTCTCGCCGCGTTCCACTCGTCCTTTCTCTTTTCTTCTCCTTTTCTTCTTCTTTGGTTTTGCTTCATGTGCTGTTTTCATTTGCAGAGACGTGAAATCTGTGCAGTAAAGTCATCGCGCTCACGTTGTCAGATCTGTGTTAACGACCACATAAAGATGGTTGTTTTTTAAACTCCTTGTTAAGGTCGTTGTTAGATACCAGAGTAGTTGTTTTCCATTTGTTCCCACTCTTTGCTTTTTTACAAGGACAGGATAAAATGTGGAGAAGCTGCTGCGTTTAAAGCCTGTGAATGTTTGTGGAAATAACGGCGCTGCCCTGCAGGTACATTACAATAACGGTTTAATGCTGTGGTGCAACTCGCTGTGCCAAAATCAGGAAGAGCGCCGCTGACGAGGATGTGATGTCAGCGTGACTCAACTGCTGGCCACAAACATGGCCACCGCGGGAGGGTAACCCTGAAGTGGTGCGACTCTGCGACGCGCCAACTAGTGTCGGGCTGATGGAGGCGTTTGACTGCAGACTGGGCCTCCATTGGCTTTTTCATCATTTTTAGGAGTCGCTGCTTCTTTCACTTCCTTCTTTTTTGAACTAGGAATGTCCAACACACGCACACGCACGCACACGCACACACACACACACACGCACACACACGCACACACACACACGCACACACAAACACACACACACACACACACACACACACACACACACACACACACACACACACACACACACACACACGCGCGCAGCCTCTTTCTGAGCTGCAGGAGGAAGTGGCCGGCTCTGGAGCGCTTCTTCCTCTGAGGGCAGGCAGGAAACTGTAATTAGCTTTCGTCTTCTCCTCTCTGTAAAAAGCAGAAGTGCCCCTTCTCTCCTCCTCCTCCTCCGTCCCTCCATCTCTCCCTCATATGTCGCTCTGGCTGGTAGAAACAGGTGTGAGGGCTGCAAAGCCACGTTTGGCCCCCTCTGGTCCAGTGGGCGCTCGGCCAGAGCTGCTTTTGTTTGCTCATAGATGGAGCGTCTTCCTCTGCCGTCTCTCTTTGTGAAGCCTTTAAGTGTCAAAGTAAATCAGAAACTCAGGAACACAGCAGTGTTTAAAACCATACATTTAACTGAATCCTTTCACCAAACTGCTTCTTTTTAAAAGATCTTTCTCAGGTTTGCTGTGCATGCACTTGTGCAGCACTTGTGCAGCACTCGCAGGGTTTGTGAAAGGTTTTCTTCAGTGAAACCAGAAACTCCAGCTGGATGTGTCAGCGCTGCTGAGCTCCCGTGCTATTCTAATCTCAGTCAGCCTTCACACACCACTCAAAAACCTCATGTCCCCAACTGACAGAGGAGTTTGTAACAATCAGCCGAGCCTTTGTTTACTGTGCTGCGGCGCCCGGGTCTGCACGCGCTCGCTGATGCATCGCAGCTTTAAACGCACACGTCTTTAAATGGACTTTGGTGGGACGGGTTACAGGATGGTTACTCTCTAATAGTGTGTGTTTGTCTGTATTGCAGCAGTCATGGAGAACTCCACAGAGGAGTGGCAGGAAGGGGGAGGAGCCAACACTGAGCTGACGGAGGAGGAGGAGAAAACGCACAAAAACCTCAAAGGTGCGTGCCAAACCCCGGTGAACATTTAATGGTTTTAGCTAACAGAGTAATAACAGTCAGCGATGCTGCTCTTCAGGAGCGATCAACGGAGTGATGGAAGGAGCAAAGGAGGTGGCGAGCGGAGGAGCGAAACTACAGAACGGAGACAAAGGTGGAGGAACCGTGGGAGGTGGAGGAGAAGACCTCTCCTCCATTAATGCCATGATGTCAGCAGTGATGTCAGCAACAGGGACCATTAACGGCGGAGACGGTGGGAGTGGAGCCCCTTCAGCCTCCTCCTCCGCCGGCCCCTCCCCCAGGTGATTACAGACAGTTTTCAGACTTGATTAAAAACTTTGAAAAGTTTAAAGTTTAGATGATGAGCTGAAGTCGATGTTTAGCTTCAAACCTGAATTCATTTCTGCACGTGTGAGTCAAACGGTGTCCACAGAGCTACATCTCCAGATTAACATCTGTGGGTGGAGGACGAAATGCTCCCAGACACGTCTGCAGGACAAGTTAACGGCATTGAATAAGATTTGGCCAAACGCAGCTGTTAAAGTTTCCTTCAGCATCGCTGCAATCCTGAGAGATTCGTCACAAACAGGAAGTGCTGATAGACAGCTCGGCTGCTTTCAACGGGACAAAATGTAAAGAAATTAACAGGATTTAAATGACAGAACAGAACAACAGGAGGTCATTTCAGCTGCAAGTGTAATTACTCGCATACGCTCCGGGCGGGATTAAAATCACTGAAGCACAGCAGGAAACATGACAACAGCCCCACCTCCTCTGGAGGAATAAACCCCATCAGGATGGAAACCAAACGGAACGAAGCCGCTTGCTTATTAAACAGATTCTGCACATAATTCACCAAATTCTTTGCTCTGGGACTCATTTTGTAAAGCAGGAACAAACCAAACACCTACTTCAAAAGGAAGCTGTTGAGTCTGTTTTGTTTCTCTTGAAACTTTTTATTTATGTGTGAAATGTTTTGTCTTCTTCTCCGTTTGAAGCCCTTCACCGAGCAAGTCCCTCACGGCAGCCATGCGAGCCCCTCCCGGTCGCAACGCACGACGCAACCAGGTACGCGACACCTCGACCGCGCCGCTTTGGCCCGGCCTCCGCCTTTGCTGCCCACAGCAGGACGTGCAGCTTCTCCTCTTCCCTCCTTTTCATGTTTTTCTGCCTCGTCACTGTGGTTTGTTTCTCCTCTCCCATCACGCTCGCTGGCATTCCACGCCGCGTCAGAACTTCCTGTGGTTCAGCAGGAAAAGGAAAGCGCTGCCTCTGAGTGGAGGGTGTGTGTGTGTGTGCGTGCGTGCGTGTGTGTGTGTGTGTGTGTGTGTGTGCGCGCAGTAATTTGTAGAGATTGTTTTCTCAACGTTTCCTCCCAGAATGATGAGCAGACGAGGCCTGGCTGTGAGGACATTTAGCCGTCTGCCTCGGGTCTTCACAATTTGATGCACCTTCAAAGAGGTCATCAAGGCCTTTTGTTTTAGGGCCGTCTGTCTGTGAATGAATCCCGATAACATGAGTCCCCCTAAATCATTATATTAGCACGGGTCCCCACGATGATAGAAAGACAGATTTGTGTGTGTGCAGCTCTGCAGCCGCTCGGTTGGTGTTGCAGCTGGATGTGAGGCATCGGCTGACATTAGGTCATCGGGTCAAACTGGGGCCACTTCAGCCCACATCTGGACACAGCTGTCAAGCCACAAACATGCTCCACGGGGTGAAGCCTGGTCCAGCCGGCGCCGTCATGTGACCCACGCGCTGTAATGTTTTGACTGTGGTGATCACTGTGATTTGGTTATTTCAGCCTGGTTTTTGTGGTAGCATGTTTTAAATATAACAGAAGAAGAAGAAGCCAGTCAGGTGTGAGTCTAAGTGCTGCGCGGGTCATGTGACAGTTTGTAGCTTCATGATTGGATGGCCTTTGATCTTTGTTTTCCTTTCCTTCAGGACACCAAAGACGACAGCTCATCTTATTGTTGTCCACTGTGTGACAAGAGCTGTCAAACGCAGCACCAGCTGACCATGCACATTAGACAGGTAAACACACCCCGCTGTGACGTGATGCTAAAGAAATAACTGAAGATGTTCAGGAGAAACCTTCTGTGTGTCAAAGCTGCTGCCGCTCGATTTATGAGCAGGGTATAGATTAGAATTTTATTTTGAAAGGGCAGCCTCTGTTATGAACATATTTCAAAGCATTGTTTTACTCAATAGCATTATGCTTTTCAAACAGGTAACTTTTGGGGCTTTTATCTTGAAAATTCAACATATTACAAAGCATTCTTTTCCTTAAAGTCAGGCTGATGTGTCTAAGCCCAAATAAGTAAAATCCAAATAATAACTTTTCAGAATAAAGTATGTCTGCTTCCCGTGTATTCCTAGATGTGTATTTTATTTTGAAAGGATAGCATGTTTAAGATCTTTGATGGCCTCGCCAATATCCTGCCAACAGTCTGTTACCAGGTTACTGCAGGATTTTACTTCTATTTAAATCCAACACGTCTAGTGACATTAGAAAATCAGGCTACTATACAGCCAGGAGGCTCTTATTTTGGAGGCGAGTTCAGCAGATGCAAAACAGCAGCTGATATATAAATAAATGGTCACACGGTGTCTACATGTGCGTTTTATTATTATTTTATTCTTTGGGACTTTAGTTTTTTACTGGGGTACCACTATTGTGTGATGAGACTCTTATTTTGAAGGGGCGCGTCCACACTGTCAAACATTATACACGTCCACTCTGTGACCGCTCATAAAAATGAGGTAACTCTGAGCGTGCCTTACGTCCCGCAGCACAACGCCGACGCCGGAGCGACGGATCACTCCTGCAGCATCTGCGGGAAATGCCTGAGCTCGGCCTCGTCGCTCGACAGACACATGCTGGTCCACAGCGGCGAGCGGCCCTACAAATGCAACATCTGCGGCCAGACCTTCACCACCAACGGCAACATGCACAGGTGATCAGAGCACACACACACACGTCCTGCTACCTGCCAGCCAATCGGAGACGAGCACCTCATTCGAGTTAACATACAGAGGCAAACATCTGGATTACATCGACCTCATATATGCCCACATTTAAGTTTAAAAAATCTATGTCAGTGTCACTGCTTAACACACACACACACACACACACACACACACACACACACACACACACACACACACACACACACACACACACACACACACACACACACACCATACAAACTCTGGGGGAGGAAGTTGGAGTTTAACATGATCACCAGCCAACCGTCATGGGAGAACACCACCAAACTCCTAGTGTGTGTGTGGGAGAGGGGGCGGGGGTTACACAGGAAGTTGGAAGATGACTTTTAACAACCCAACCCCAATATAAACACACACACACACACGCAGGCTACAGTTAGGTTGTTTGGTCTGATGGTGAAGGCTGGACATCACTGATAAATAAATGACTGGGCGTAGGTCTGTGTGTGTGTGTGTGTGTGTGTGTGTGTGTG